TTCAAACCCAATCTTGCTTCTGAAAATTTACCTCGGAACTTAACATATTAAAACTCCCCCGAGAGAAGGGAGGCTGGGGCACAAATTTTCGGAGCCTACAAATGTCAATGGAGCTAATGGTTTATTTCTCCCATGAAAAGGTGAACCCTTAAGAAAAATACATGATTATATCAATGTTTTCTAATGTTGACTAGAAATTTTGTTTGTATCTTGACATAGAATAATGTTTGGAGGGCAGGTCTACCACAAGCACTCTCCTAGGATAAATCCATGATATTTTGTCCAACAACTAGTCCCATCATATGCTATTAGTATTAAATCCATGATATTTTGTCCAACAACTAGTCCCATCATATGCTATTAGTATTGTTGTATTTAGATTCCTTTTAATATTTTATTCCTACCATGTATATATAAATAGAAGTCTTTGTACACTTGAGCAAAGAAAACAAGATGATGGAGTTCCGCCAAAATCTTCATTTAACTGTATCGATAAGCTCTAGCAAAATCTCTGAAAGAGGGAATACTAAGCACCTCTCACTGCAATATCTTAGATACAAGCTTGGTGATAAGGACTATGGAGAACATTAAGAAAAAGAAATCGTTTTCCTAGAATGAGTCGGAAGCATGAAAAAATGGTAATTACTCTACCTGGACTTCATTCTAAGCCCTATATTTGATTTTTTTCGTATTATGCTCTACCCGAGCTCCATCTTCCTACTAAATACGCAACCTTCCTACTAAAACGTGCCTCTTCTAGATCACAAGGATTGGTTTCAATGATCATTTAATCATCTTCCCGCAATTTAGATCAAGTTGGTACCTGAATGAGGCTATTATGTACCCATTGTAGAGTTGGTAAAAACTAAGTGTTCCAAGGAATAGAGCATGAAGTGTCCACTAAAACACCATGGGAGTTGCCCATCACCATCAGCCGAAATTGAAAATATAACTTTATGGCTGCAAAAACTTGAGTTAATTAGCATAGATCTTTATATAATGATCGCAGTTGTGACATGCATCAACCAATATAATCATATCATGCCAATTCATTTCCAAGAGGCATTTAGGAAAAAGGGTGTTATTTCTATATGAAGAGGATAAATAAGAAGATGAAGACTATGAAGTGGGGGAAACTGTCATCATCAAAAGAACGACTGAAAAAGAGCACAGCACCACCCTTTCAAGGTGGAGGTGAAGCTAAACTCACCTATGATGGAACAATCAATGCATATCGCACTGAAAACTACTTCGAGCAATTAGAAACTTTAATGTTTATGATTTCAACTGTATAACGAGTTTCTTTTGCTCATTTGAAGCTTACTTCCAATGCACTTGTATGGTTAAACTCTTACGTAAAAACCACCCATAATATTGTAAGAATTTGTTAGTGTTTAAATGGCTATTAATGAGTTGCTTCCCACCCAATCAGTCAGGAAGAAGAGAAGTATGTCAAATGACAGCAATTGAAAAATGTGAGCAAATCATACAAAGACAGCGCTATAGAATTTCGAAGGTGAACCATTGCCTAAGAAATCTTCTTGGATGAACAAGAAGCCATTACAATATATTTATCAGGTATTCACCACAAATAAAGCTATATTATCCATAAATGACATCACCAACGCCAACTTAAAGTAAAAGGCATCAATGAGAAGAACCCCGACAAGCAAAAGAATGAAGCCATAAACAATCCAAGGTCAAGGATCGATCAAAGAGAAAGAAAGTAGGATGCCAAGCTAAAATGCGCTAACTACAGTAAGACAAGGCATACAAAGAATGGCTACTAGAAGCTTCGCTTAGATCTCAAACAACACAGAAGGGAAAGCAAAGAAAAGTAATTAATAAATATAAACATTATTAAAGTTATTGCATTGCCCAAGTTTACACAAGACGAAACCTAAGTTTTGCTATTGATGGCCCATAGGAAAGAGAGAGCCCATGTAGATATGGATAGATAAGAGCTCTTCTGAGTCGACATCCAAGGGAATCAATCGTTATTCACCTATGGAGTGTGAAGAACCTCATCTCAAAAAGGATGGTTTGACATTTAGGGCACTCGACAACCAACATCCTAAGAACTATGCTCAATAGCTAGAACACAAGGAGGTAAAAATGCATATAACCAAGCAATGCACCATTAAGTTTTCCCTCACCAACCAATGAACGGAAGACGTTGTGTGCGAGGTAGAACCTCTAGACATCTGTCACATGATCCTTAGAGGATCATGCCTTTAAAGCTAATTAGCTAACTGCTATTTTGTGATGCTATCAACTCTAAAATGCATAAATGATAATGATTTCCTAAAGATGAAAAAGCTCATGACTGGTAAGGAAACTAACACTATTCCATAGACATTTACATCTCCTGAATATTTCCAATGAATGTTAAATCACTGCTAAGAGTTAACATCACTAATGCTATAAGAGGTAGCAATAAAATAGCAAAGTCAACCTTTGACTTCTCATCAAAAGGAAGAAAGCAAATTATTATAGCCAAATTATGCATCTTGCAAAGAGAGTGACAGACATAACCCTTGGACAACATCTTTTTAGCAACTTCTCCATATAAGTAGGCTCTCAAATAACATCCTCAAAGAAGTCAACTCTCGGCAAGCCTTGATCTCATCCATTCGGCCCCTGATTGGCATCCTCTCCCCAACTACTTTCCTTGAAGTTGGATCTTGGTACGTTCTTGTGAGAAGTCAGCCCACGATGGCCTCCCCAAAATGGCCAACTACAAACTGCTCGGGTTGGCATTGACTGACTTGTTCCCTTCTCGAAAGTTGTCATGCTAGCGACTCACCCATTCCCGAATGTTATCCCAAGAGTCCAGCTCCTAACAACTTCCTAAAGAGATTGGCTTATGTCATTCCAGTCAGTTGGGTACAAGGTTGCAGTCCATTTACCATAAAAAATGAAATTCAAAAGAGCTCACTATTTCTTCAAATAAGGTGATTAGAATGTGAAACTATGGCCCCCAGTGAGGTCGCCCAAAGTTATTCTCGCTCACCAAGTGTGTAATTGACCAGATTGAATCATATTATGGTGAAAGAGTCCAATTAATCTCGAAATTAAAATCAAATTTTATAGGGTTCCTTGAGTTAGTGATATAAGTCTAACAAATTAGCCCTTCAAGCCAACACAAAGCAAATAAGCACTTCAATCCTAGAAATTAAATTAATTAGGTTGATGGCTCTCTTGCCAAGCTACCAATCATACAAAAATATAATGCCATCAATCCCATCAATTTGGCCAGCTGCCATATCATTAAGTCCATCAATTTGGCATGTCAGGCTTGCTAAACAAGTCAATTATCATGTTATCAACACATCATCAAATTGGCCAGCATGCCCTCAAGCCCATCAATTAGATTAACCACCATGCCACTAAGCTCACCAATCACGTACCTCACCAATCATAACAATTTTCATGCCATTAAGCCTTCCATTCATGTTGACTATCATGCCATCTAGCACACAAATCAAGACAATTACACTGTTGTCAAGCCACCAATCGAACCAATTTCTATGGCATTAAGCTAATCAATTGGTTCAATTGTCATAGCATCAAATCTATTCAGCCGCCATGCTATCAAGCTCATCAAGCGAGCTAACAACTATGTCATCAAACCCATCAATAGAGCCAACTACCATGCTAACAAGCCAAATCAAACTCAAGTTTAGATTCTATGCTACAAGTCCCACCAAACACTAGGCTATCTCCCGTGTTTTCAAGCCTGCCAAATCAATTAGACTAGAACAAAACAGCATATTTACCAAATCAAATAGGTGGATGGGAAAACATCAAATGCACATTTTTCCCCCACTTAAGAAAATGGAGTTATTTTTGTTGGTGTCATCCGAACTCATAATGTTGGCCAGTAACGTCAAGCTCACAATTTAACTCAAATGAGTTTTTAGTCAACCTATCAACTAACAAATCAAGCCCAAATCTCCTCAAGAAAATCCAAATCCATATAAATAAATCCTAGCAATCGATCAAGGGAAATAGTGGGAAAAGAAAAAAAAGTAAAGAAACGATATCTTCCTATATGAGTACTCACTCTCAAATTCACCAAAACGAACACGGGAGCATCCTTTCAGAGCCTAAAATCATCTATTAGAGAAGATCAATAAAGATCTATATAAATCCCTCAACAAACTCACCAAAACCAAAAATGAAAAGAGAGGGGAAGACTCGGATTTTATAGTGTCATTGAGAGGCCACTGCCAGAATAATTTTGCAACCAATCCAGTTGTTGACATTTATAAATATAATGCTCCTTGCAGTCAACTGGTAAAGATCAGGAAAAAAAACAGCTAAAAGTTTCAAAGCTCACGCCCCTCATTAGGACACTAACTGAACCTTATGTTAACCTAATAATGGAAGAGCGATAGAATGAGGATGTGGCAGAAATGGTCTTGAAAGATGAGTTTAATAACAAATGATACCTTAAGCTAACAATTTTACACCATATAAAACGGATGTACCTACAATGCAGTTTACTACACACACTGCAGCATAGGAAAGAGGTTGATGTACACATGCAATTTTTTAAATCAACAGAAGTTAATTTAAATTACTAAACTGCAAATATAAGTTATGGGTAACCATAAGAACAAGGAATGTGAAGATTAGTAACATATTACACTTTTTTCCATCATCCAATTTTTTTAATTAGCACTAAAGCATAATAAGTGAAGAAAATTTTAATACTGATAGGATAGCTAATTATGAAGGTGGTGGGGCTTTAGAAGGGCTGGTGGGGGCTTCCGAAGAGGAGGGAATAAAAAACATGCAACCATTGTATAATACCACTAAAATTTGCTCGGTATGGAATAAGTAGAGGAGGAGAAGCTTAACTGGGGGAGTTTGGTTGGTAAAATAGAAGTAAATATCACAACATAGAATGAAGTAAACTTTGCTCAACTCCATGCGATGCAATTGAAGCTGAAAGTTATCACACTTTAGCGGAGAAGAAAATTTGTAAATCGTACCATGATGCATTAGGAATGCCGTCATTATGGACCCTGGAGCAAGGGCAATGTTGAAATACAGGAATACATACGCCAAACTTGCAGGAAGAACGGGCTGATTTCTATATTCCATCCAGCCATTTCTCATGGACTTGAATCCAATTTCAACTGAAAATGCAAGGGTAGATTAAATATGTTTATTTTCATTAAAACATAAGAACCATAATAAAAAGACTTGTAATGAAGTTACCTATCTTCCCCATATTTAAGAGGGAACCAACTCTAAAGGAACTATCAGAATTTTGAGAGAACTTGGAGCATTCTAGAGCGCCACTTGAACTCCTGTTTATAAGTTCCCCTAAAATAAACTGCAAAAGGTAAACGGCTTGAGAATGGACAAAAGTTGACACCAAAAAAATATACAGAAATTGGATGTACCAAAACAGGCAATGCACATATCATTAGTCCAGAAGCGAGTTTTAAACAAGTTACGGTATGGTATTTGGATAGCAAAATGCCAAAAATTGAAGCGCCAGCTATCTGCGCATTTCAAACAAGGAGTCATGGCTTTTATAACCAGAATATATTAAGAACGTCAAGAATATGAAGCTTGGCAACAAAAATAAATTATTAGTCGTAACCTTACCTCACAAAGAAGATCAATACGATTGAGCATGGCATTTGCACAGGCAAGAGCGATTGGCCTATTAGTGCCTGCTAACTTTGGATTACAGTAGAACCTACTTAAGATAAATACACAAAGAACAAATAAATGCAGCATCTGAAATCATCCAATTACCAGCACTACCCATTCACGCTCAACAGTAACACCCAAAGCTAAGCCTGCAAGTCTTTCAATTGCTCCCACGGCAACCAGCACTATAAACCATGGTTGGAAAAGCATGGTTGATGCAGAAGAACACGATGCCCTGCTGAGTGCATGTATGATCATTGCAGCTGACAATAGCTGAGCAGCTGTCTGACACAATATACATGTTACCAGCCAAATTTCAATGTAGCCGTTACAAAATGATGTTATGTTATATGAAAAAAACTGTTACTAGAAAGCATCTTTTACAGGCTCAAAGCTATAGCACACCTGTATTATATTAAGACTGTGATATGCAGGAATTCTAGGGAAGTGATCCATGAGATTACCAACCAAAGGGGCACCAATGAAAACTGAAAGCTGAATTAAACAAAATCAATCACTAATCATGCTCATAGAGTTCAATATCCCAGAAAATGAAAACAATGATTCTTTAGCTACCTTGGCAAAGAAACCCACAAAAGCAACTGGCAAGAGACTTGTATGAAGAGTTGCAACAGCTGTAGGCCATGCAAAATTCCACAGTTGTTCCACCATATTTCCAACAAGGAAGCTTGCATATAAAGCTGGGAAGAACCCCTTCACTATTAAATGTCATAATAACCCAACCAGATATTCATAGAAACATAATGGGCTGAAATGATAACAAAAAGATTGCAAAGCCAAAGTTCAACAGCCTCAAGATTTGTATTAAGTCCTATGATCACTAGAAAATGATTACCCCCAAATACGGTTATATTTTTTTTTTTTGCAAAGAATAAACAATAATTAAGAGTTAAATGTGCTCATCATAAAAGTATTTAAAAGCCGATGAAATCTAAGAAGCACAAACACTCCAAAACATCTTCCATGTTCATGTCCAACACAAACATGGCTTCGACATGCCTCGACACATGTTTGATAATCTAAAAAAAGTTTCCTAGGGTTTTAAATATGTGGATTGGAACTCAGACATGGGTTGGACACAGGAGACACAGGTCGTACACGTTGGGACACAAGCAAGACACTAGAGTTTGAGTTACTGAAATCAAAATAAATTACAATTTGTGTATATACTGTAGCCCTAACTTATGTGCATATACCCATAACCCTAGCCTTTCGGTCTCGCAATCCCCCACTCCCCCTTGTCAAAGTCGCTCGTCATCTTTTATATATTCTTCGTCAAAGCCACTCAACATCTCACACACTTGCCTCTCCGTCAAAGTTGCTCACCATCTCTTACCAGTTTTCAACTTTTTTCGTTGAAGCAACTCAACATCATGCCTTGCCATTTTAGCTTGCAATCTTGCCTAGTATAGCCATCTTGAGTTGGCCTGCTCAATGATTTGAATTGTACAGGTAATCATTTTTATCCTATTATTTGATTTATCTAATATTCCCCAATTTCAAGTCTTAATAAGTGCATTGCAAGCATTTCTTCCCTATTATTTGATATAGCTAATATTTCATTATTTATGTATTAAAAATATTTCAATTTTAGTAGCATTTTTAATTAAATAGTGTGACAAAATTTTATGGTTAATGATTTGAATGTTTAAGAGAACTGAAATAAATTCCATTCAACAAAAAATAATATTAATGGTACAATGATTTGTGACCAACATTTTTGACAAAAATTCAATTAAAGCATACAAATTACAAACCTGTTTCGCTTGTTGTTTACTAGATAATGACTTCTAAGGTTGGCACAAATTGTAATAGCCCGTATGTTGACTCTACCAAATATTTGTTTTCTAGAATCAATATAAATCCAAATTACAAACTGTCTTCGTCATAGCATTATTTTTATAGAATTTTACTTGCATGATTATTTTTTCATAATTTTGAGTGCTAGTGAAAATCCTTAAGAAAATTTGCCCCTATCGTTATAAGTGGGGAATTTGCAGGTGTCCGTTTTGCAAATCGATTTCACAAAAATTTCTAAATAAAATGTATTATTTTTTGAATATTTTTCTATAATTTTTTCAACTCTAAAATAATTTTTATGAATTATATATTAAAAAAATTGATTAAATTAATTATATAATATTAAATTATTATTTAAATTAAATATCTTTAGTCACTAAAAAAATTTTAAAAAGCTTTTCCCTTCCTTTGTTTTGGCAACAGAGAATGTTTTAGGGAGAATAGGGAGAAAAGAGAAGAGAGAGAAAGGAAAAGCTTGGATTTGGAGTCTATAGAATGATTTTTGTCCATCGACGCTGTTGAAAGATTTTCTCGTCTCGTTATAAGGAACTTTTAAGCTATTTCTGATTTCAAAGATTTTGTATTTTTAATATTTTTCTGATCAAATTTGTATTTCTGTTACCAAAAAACCAGAATAATTTTGTATTGATAAAACTTTTATCGCGTAACTTTTTATATGTTATAGAGATTGAGATTATAAATATTTTGAATATTTATTTGAGATTTTTCACTGAGTGATTTTGAAAATACAGAGATTTTAGCCTACCCAGAAATTTATTTTGATGTCTAAAAATAATGATTTAGTTCAAATAAAGGTTCAGAAAATTATTTTAACCAATATTTAGTAATTTGGTTAAATTTTGAAAATATGAATTTTTGTTCAATATGATTTTTTGTTGTCTACCGTTAAGACATTTTGGCATTTTTTGAATTAAACTCAATTATGTTTTTTTATTGACTGCAATGCATTAAAAATGAATGTGGATATGTAATTATAATTAATGTTATAATATTAAGATAATACTATGTGTAAAAGATAAGTAAATACTGGTTGATCCATTGGTTGGAGACTGATTGACCTGTATAGGATGGTGGGCTGACAAGCTTTCTTTTAAATACTATAGTTTGGTGTTATCCTCTACTGATTTACGTAATACACGGATTGAGAGTTATAAAGAGATGATTATTATACCGACGGGCTAAGAGTAACAACTCTATTTACTAGCTAACAATTTATTGATACCAATACAATACTAAAAAAACACTATGATAGGCAAGACTTCTTATTTGTTTGGTGTGACTATTGAAATGCATATTCTAAAGACATTGTTCTTATTATGATACTAATTTATTATTATTACTGCACGGATATATTATTATTGCATTATTTTATTGCTCCTATCACTGAACTATTACTGACAAAGATACTTATACTATTTGATACTATGGATTCACTGCATAATAAGCATGTGACATAATAAACACATAATACACTGATTTGATATTGATATATAATAATTTGATAGTATGTGTACATTCCTATATGATTTTACTACATTAATTTAATTTCAAAAGTCTTTACTGATATTTTGATTTGATTTTTTATCTGATTTCTATACTGATTGGTATTACGAATACGATGATTATTTTATAAATTTAACACTCGTACTGATTTATTGCTTTATTGGCTTCCGTACTCTAGTGGTTTACTGTTTATAAATTTTACTACCATTGCATGTGAATTTTACTCTTTTTGCACTTATTCAATGATCATATGAATGTTATTACTATAATTTAATCTCTGACATGTATATTGCTCTTTTACCGTATTTTAAATTCAGTTATAGTTTTTAGTGACCTGCTAGACTTTCTATCTCATTATATGTGGTTAAATTATTTCAGGTTTGACATAGGAGCAGCAGTGTAAGATTGGTCAGAATTCTTCAAGTTCTATTTTTTTATTTTAGCTATTATTTTATATCCATAACATAATAGTTATGGTATGATTGTGTAGATCCTAAGTATTCTTTATGATTTTGGGGAATTGAATACAGATGTATTTATTGATGTTTAGATCTATAGTTTTATTTTTGATAATAATGATATTAATAAAAGAAATTAGATAGCTCTAATTATTATTTATTAACAAATAAAAGAATAATTCTTCTAAATTAGATTCTAGGGCATCACAATTAGTTTCAGAGCTGTTGTTGGAAGAATTGATTGATTTTTTATCAGAGCTATAGAAAATTTATTGCGAGTTGGGTAGATTAAGGTATATTATTTTGCATACTTAATTGAATGACATGTGAAAAATGAACTGCATGACTGTATGATTCTTGACGAGTTTTGATTTGCATTTGATTTGATTTCTGATTTGATCATACGATTTTTGTTTATATTAATTTTATGCCCGAATCTTTAAGGGATTCTTAAGGTAGATAGATCTTAATAGACCGTATGTTGACTCTGGCAAATAATTTTCTTTTGGAATCAATATAAGTCCAAATCACAAACCGTCTTCGTCATCTTATTGTTATTGTCGTATTTTACTTACACGATTTTTTTCATAATTTTTTATCTCCAATCAAAATCTTTAATAAATTGGCACTTATCGATATAAGTGAGAATTTTGAGACCGTCAGATGTTTGTTTTACAAATCAATTTTTTTAAATTATTTTAAATAAAATGCATTATTTTATGAAATTTTTTATATAATTTTTTAAGCCCAAAATAATTTTAATGAATTATATACTTTAAAAAATTAATTAAATTAATTATATTATATACTTTAAATTTGGAAACAAAAAACGTTTTAGGGATAATAAAGAGAAAAGAGAAGAGAGAGAAAGAAGAAGCTCATATTTGAAGTCCATAGAGCGATTTTCGTCCATCGATGTTGTTGGGAGATTTACTCATCTCGCTATAAGAAATCTTTACCCTATTTCTCATTTTAAAGATTTTGTGTTTTTAATTTTTTGTAATCAAATTTGTATTTTGGTTTCAAAAAAATAAAAAAAATTTTGTATTGGTTAAACTTTCACAGCGTAACTTTTTATATGTTATATATATATATTAAGATTATGAACATTTTAAGTCTTTATTTGAGATTTTTTAACATAAATTTTGAAAATACAACGATTTTAGCTTACTTAACGTCTAAAAATAGTGATTTAGTTCACGAAAACTTCAAAATATTATTTTATTCAATATTTTGTAATTTGGTTCAATTTTGAAAAATGTAAATTTTTTCTAAATATGATTTTTTTTTTTTTACTATTAGGACATTTTGGCATTTTCTGAATTAAGCTCAATTAAGCTTTTATTGACTGCAATGCATTGAAAATGAAAATAGATATGTGATTAAGATTAAAGTTATAGTATTGTGATAATAATATGTGTAAAAGAGAACTAAAGACTGCTTGACCCGTTGGTTGGAGAATGATTGAACTGTATAGGATTGTGGGTCGACAAGCTTTCATTTAAATATTATAGTTTGGTGTTATCCTCTATTGATTCACGTGATACACTAATTGAGAGTTATAAGAAGATGATTATTATGCTGACGGGTAAAGAGTGATGACTTTATTTACTGAACCAATGATTTAGTGATGCTGATATAATACTCAAAAAACACTGTGATAGCCATGACTTTTTTATTTGTTTATGTAACTATTGAAATGCATGTTTTTAAGACACTGTTCTTATTATTGTACGAATTTATTATTACTGCATTAATTTACTGTTAGTGCATTTTTTACTTCTCCTACACTAGAGTGTTACTGCATAAAGTGAAATCCGATCCATAAATCAGTAACTAAAAGAATCGAAAAAGCTTTGATTGTATCACTTAAGTTATAGAGAAATTCCTGAATCCAA